GATACTTCAGAAGAATTCCTATTTCCCTTTACATCATGAGATCAATGGGGGGAACTCCCAATCAGTCCAACCGAAACCTGTAGCATGTCCAGCATTTCTTAGCAATGTGGTTGGTTCCTTACAGAATTTGGAGTTCCATCAATGAGCAACTTCAAAATTATAGAAAGTACAAAATTGCAACAGAAGTACATACCAAACATTAAGGCAATAAATTAAAAGCATATAGAGGCAAGATTAGGTTATCTTCCGCCTCATACTCATTTCAGTAACCAGAATTATTCCAAAATCTTTGGCTACCAATTAAAAGCAATTGCTTATAGCTACTAATCTACTCCCCGAAATTCAAAAATTGATTCCGCAGCATGTCATCTCACCTGTAAATTTTTAAGACTTGACATCTAGTTTTTAGATTTAGGTCCGATCCTTCCAACTGCAATACTAAGAAGCAGGTATTTCAGTCTGTTATTTTTCTCATTTAGAATAAGTAGGACAAGTGGCGGCGGCGGCAGCAGCAGTAGTAGATTCTATGAAGCTAATTCAGACTTAAGACAATGCTTTCCAAGTTTTCTAGTCATGGAATACACAGAAATGGTTTCTCGTTCCTTTCTTCTGGCGGTGCTCTCGGATTGTACAGCTTGCCCAAGGATGCACAGGTTGGTTCTTCTCCTGAGAGGCATAGCAGAGAATGGAACTCTCACCCTCTGCCCAACTCACTGAGCTACACAGCCAGCAGTGAGCAGGATAGCTCAACATAAAAAGTTCTCAAATTTACCTTCCAGTTTCCTTCTTCTAACTGAAGAACTATCACTAACCTAGACCAGAATGGACAGGCTTGATAGGTGCTATGTATTCTCCACATCCCCAGAACTTCAACAAATTACATCTGCCAATTATTCAACACTCCAACATCACTGATATGTGGAGGGGGGGGAAACACAGCATCTTAACTGTACCCACAAAACCTTCAAAGAGGTGACTAACCATTAAATGGAGATGTGCAAATAACATTCCATTTAATAAAGACAGATAGATTCCTTTTCAAAATACTGAAAATTATTCACATTGATTTGTACACTGGATGGCAATACTGAGAGATTAAATTTAGCAGAACACTCTTGGGGTGGGCAGTCTTCAGGGCTGAGGGATATGCTTTGTTGTTTGTTTATGAAACCCAGAGATCCAGAAACTACAGCCAGATGCAAACTATTGGCTCAGGCAGGCAAACATATGCTAAACATTAAAGAATAGGTTGACTTTCAGCATAGGCTGATCCCAAGAATTCCTCATCATCCATCTTGCAAATCCACTTCTGATTTTCCATAACCATCATTTTACAGTGGTCTAATCAGGGGTGGGGGATGCTTCTCAGCTGTTACTGTTAGATAGCTCAGAAGTAAAAAACATGCAGGGGTGGGATGCTTCTCAGCTGTTACTGTTAGATAACTCAGAAGTAAAAACATACAGGGGGTTAATGTATTCTCAAAGGCTTTTTTACGGCTGGGATCTGATGGTTGTTGTGGGTTTTTCAGACTCCTTGGCCATGTTCTGAAGGTTGTTCTTCCTAACATTTCACCAGTCTCCATGGCCGGTATTTTCAGAGGACAGGAGTCAGAACTTTGTCTGTGCTCTGGTG